GAACACCAGAAAAAATGATTTTCGAATTTCGGTTTGAATCTTTGCATAGAGACGCGCTTTAACAAGTATAGTTTCTTGTGAATATTTTAAATGTTGTCAATTTCTATCCTAAGATACAACTATAGTAATAGCGTATCTTCTATGTCGCTCATATAAACCGGTAGATGTGATGTTTTTATTTCAGGATAGAAGCAAATCGAACGACCTGAAATTTTCACAATAAACTACTCTCATTAAGGTCTGTTTCTGCACAAAGTTTTAAGTCGAAAGGCAAAAACCAATTTTTCTTGTGTTCCTAAGAGAGACCACGACATTTGTTTAAAAATATATCGTAAAATTCCAGTATTTCTGCAGTAATAAGCTCAGGACACAAACTCTTTTCAGGATATTCAATGCTCATTTGGATCTACATAATGCACATTGTTTTGAATCAAAAGTGATTTATCAGTTGGAAGACTTTCTTCGTTAGCCGAAATTATTCTGATTAGTATATATTTACTTTGTAACACATTCTCCAATATGATTAGAGTCTTATCATTACCATTTTTAATTTTTCTCCCCATTTGAAAATAAACAGCTGATATTTGACTTCTTCGGAATTATGTGATACATTTATTCTTCAATCTTATTCTTTTTTTGCATATTATAGTAAGATTCTAAGACCCAAACACTTTGAGAAAGTCCTATCTCAACCAATCACTGATTCAGATGAAGTAATGAAAAACAGAGTATGGACATATAACGATAAATAGATATAAGAATGTGTAATATACAATGCTTTTAGATTGAATGTCTCTCTCAGTCTTTATTGTTCTTTCTTAAGACTATTACAGTTTAATGGGTTTTTTTCGATAGAGAAAAACTTTACTGCATTGGTTAATATATCAATCATGAATAACATACAAAATTCAAAGAACAAAAAAATACATCAGAAAAAAAAGATTGTATATTATTTTTACTACAATGCACAGTTAGGGTGAATCAAGTTTTTGTCTCTCCTTTACTCTTGCACATATGAACACACATAACTTCAATAATTGTTTGAGCATTTATTTAGATATAGAGATTGATAAAAACAAGCTATTGAATACTCAGAAAATATTTAAAGTTATCTGTGTTCATACATGCAAAAATTATAAAAAAACTCGATTTACGCTAACTGTGCATTGCCAGGTCAAGAAATACAGGTGATTTCCGATTGGAACTAGAAAAATCCAGACACCGGACTCTTTCTTCTAAGTTTCTACTATTTTTCAGTCGGAAATGTCGTCTTCTCGGCAGGTTTCTGCCAGAATCATTGACGTGAGTTATAGTAAAAAAGTATACGATCTTTTTTCTAATACATATTGTGTCTTCTAAACATTAATCTATCAAGCGATGCAATGAAGTCTGTACTTTATCGATTAATACATCAAACTGCAATAGTCTTAAGCAAGAAAAACAAACGAGAGGAAATTCAATTGAAACATACTGTAAAAAAAAGAACTTTATTCTAATAAGTTTCTAATCTAACAAAAATTATGACTCTATAATTTTTATATTTCGTAGAAAGATAATCTTCATTCAACATTACAACGAACAATGGATCAATTACGTAGTGATAAAGCAACAATTGAACGAAAATTACAAGATGCTGAAATACAATTGAAAGCCATTGAGGATAGTAATCGACAAGTACAATTATCCATTGCTCGTAAATCATTAATAAATGGTAGTGAAAATGAAGATGATGATGATGATTATGATGATTATGATGAAAATTTTACTCCAAAAAAGTTTACTAATAAAAATAAAAATGATTTTCATGATTATGATGATGAAGTTGAACAATTAAGTGATACAGATAGTGATGTTATCAAAATGGAAGAAACATTAAAAGAATTACGACAAACACAACGTGAATATCTGTCACTTCTTCCAACATCAAATATAGATGAAAGTCAAAAGCAACATATGAAAACAACAACAATTGATTTAACAAAATTATCTGTTGCTGATGTTGCTCCAGTTGTAAGAAATATTCGTACAATTAATCGTAATATACCAAGAATGTATGAATCTTTTGAAACAATACCAAATCAATTATTAACTGATTCAGGACGATGGTCAAATACTATGATATCAACACTTAGTAGTAATAATAATAATAATTCATCATTAATGTATCAAACATTAAATGGCTATCAACCAATAATATCAAAAACTCATCATTGGAGTTCACAACCAACTCTTGTTACAAGAGAAGCAGTATTAAAAGCAGCACGTACAGTATTTGCACCTGGTGTAATTGATCAATTAACATCAAGTACAAAATCATCAACATATTGAAAAATAATTCTTTTCTTTATTGACTTTCAATGATATTAGAAACGAATTTTGCACGTTAGTTAGTTTTTTTGCTTTTTATTGTTTTTTCGTTTTATTTGTGCAATTAATTTGTTTCTTATTTTGAATTTCTTCGTTTATATACGCACATCTTTGCCTTGTATTTTTGAGATTGATAGAAAAATTTATGGCATGCATTTGCTTTTTTTTTTTGTTTGTTTTGTGCAAATTTAAATAGACTCTTCTTTATTATTTCTCAAATATTCGTTTCTTCCAATTGCACACCAGTTTTTTTTTTCGATTTCTTATCGACGGCTATACATAGCTCGGTTGTATTTATTATAAGCCTGAAAATAGTTTGTTTGTGTTTTTTTCTTGTTTTTATAATTCGCGAAACATATACAAGCTTGATATGAAATAGTTTCATTATTATACGTATTTTTTTTTCTTATTTGACTAATGATATAGAATTTCAAATAAAAATTCAGAGTATATTTGCTATATATTTATTTCCTGATTAAAAAAAATAGAACACACTTAATGAGAATAAACAGCTATTAACTATTTATTTCTATTGGTTTTTACTAACAGTAATTATAATATTAAATATAAGTAGTAATCATATATAATTATTCTATATTCTCATCTTAATATCTTATGTTCAATCAATTGTGAAAGTATGTTAATTAAATACATACGAGAGAAATATTATGTTGAAGTCTTGTATTTATTGGAAGACATTTTGTTGTTGAACAAAGCTATAATAAAATTAATATTGTATTTGTGTATAATAATATATCTTTTGATACGGGATATATAGTTGGTAAATTAATGACTGAAGATTGATAAAAACTTGTTCTTTAATATTTGGCTTTTTTGAATAATATAATTGAAGATATGATTAAGAAATTAATATTAGTGAATATGAATACTTTGCTTTATATAATCTTATCGATGTATTATTTGAATAGCTAGTTGAACAATTGATTACTGAATAAGGTTAACTATATGCTCTTGATTCTTAATTATGAAATCACTCGAAAATGTTCTCTTTCATAATTTGATGAAGAACTGCGAAGTGCTAGTGTGGATAGTGGTCTATCTTATCAAGATGTTAATCGACTTAATATACTTTCATCATTGATTGAAGCTGAATGTATTGTTTTAAAAACATGGTATGGTTGAACTTTATTATTATTAACATTACGCACGAGCACTCGACTAGGATGGCAAAGATCCAATTGCTAAATATGCTACAGCAATTTTCTATCATCCATATGCATCTTATGAAGATTCTGCTAATCATTTTCATGAGTTTTGTGACAATGAAATAATAAACCACATGTATTTATTAATTTTGATTTTATTAGATCTATTAATGCATATATTGAAGCTTCAGTCAGTTTGGATGAGAAAATGTGGACTACACAAAAACAAGACATAACAACATGTTTCGATAATTCATAAACATATGTTCTGTGTTTTCTTGTTCAATGTTCGAATTTCATTGATGCAGCATTAATTATGTTTGTTAATGATCAATGAACTTGTGCAATTCATCTAGACTTTAGAAAATAACTTGGAAATACTTCAATTCGTAACGAACAATTAGTAGCTTTTGTTGTTGTTGAAAACAGTACTAAAAAATGTACCACATATTCATGGAAACACACATACAATACATTTAATCATTCATGAAATGTAATCAGATTACTATAGACAGGTAATGCGCTCAATTTAATTCTTCATTATGGTAAAAACACTGCTTATTTAACATATAATGCGCCGAATGATCCACAATGACTATTGAAAACTTTCAATCGAGTTTCTAAAAGACTTGCTTTCACTAAATTGTTTGTTAAGACTGTATCAAGATAGAAAATTTTTAAATGAATATGGAAATTTTTTCCAATACATTTCTTTATTTTATGCTAGTCTATTGAATTTGATGATTATATCTTGACAGAACAAAAAAATCAAAAGATACAAAAGAGAAAGGTGTAATATCTGCAGTGATATCTAAAATAAGAAGCTTTATCGAATTTAATATAAAATTTGTATATATATATACATATGACAGTCTTCTTTCACTCTGTTGAATATACGATCTTAACAGAATCTGGGTACTTTTTTAATCTTTACAACAAACTGATCAATTATGACTAGATTATAAACAAATAAGATGTTGATACACTTGAATGTCTCAGATCAACATTTTATTGTTCAAATTTAAAAAATAAAATATTGACCTTATTATTATGTAAATACTTTGTTTTAAAAGACTAAGTACCTATTAATTCTGATGCATGGTGTCTAACTCTTGATAGATGTAACATCAATAGCCTAAATATCTGTTGACTATAAACTCTATTTCAAGAAGATTAATACGTTAATAATTTTTCTTCTACTGATATTTACTAATAAAATCGCAGTTCGTATTATTGATAATCCCAGAAAAAGAAAATAAGAATTATTCTTTGCTCTTAATCTATATAAAATGATTTTTCAGTCTGACATATCTCAAATATCATCATGACAACGTAAACAATAAATAAAAAGAAATATTTATATGTCATATATGTATTTTTCATCAATCAACGCTTATGAGAATAAACCTTCTGTCACTTTTCCTCAGACCATTTCTAACAACATCGTTCGACTACACCTCATTAATCATGAGTAGCGTTCGTCTTTCATTACTTTGTCTATTTGTTGTTATTTATCCAATTCAATCGAGTAATCCAAATTGTAAAAGTAATTACAATACAAATCCAATTGTACGACATGAACCTACTTTTGTAAGTTCTGTACCAAATGAAAAACGTTTTGTTGTTGAATCAGGTTATAATAAAATAAATATTGTTCATGTCTATGGTGGTACACCATATGATCCGGGTTATGCATTAGGTTCACTAATGAGTAAAGAATTAAATGAACTTATTCCTAAATATTTTGCTTATTTGGATAAAACAATTGAAGATGAATTGACAAAAACTTCCACCAGTAAATATGAAAGAATTTATTCTTTATTTTTTTTCTCAAAGTAGCATTGTTGTTTTTTTTTGCTAATAATTTATCGCAAAATGGATTGCAGAATTAGGTTTATCAGGTATACTTGATCTTAATTATGAAATAACACGTAAATATACTCCACCATGATTTAATGAAGAACTTCGAAGTGTTGCTGCTGATAGTGGTGTATCTTATCAAGATGTTTGTCAAATGAATTTAATTTCAAAATTAATTAAAAATTTCATGTACGAGCACTTGATTGGGATGATAAAGCCTTTCTTGCTAAATATGCTAAAGTAACTGTCTATTATTCAAATGCATCATATGAAGGTTATACAAATCATTTTCATGAATATTATAAACAACAAAATTATGCATCACATGCATTTGCTAATTTTGGTTATCTCGATCTTATCGGATCAATTGGTGCATATAGTGGAACTTCAATTGGTTCAGATGAAAAAGTATGGATTACAAAAGAACAAAATATAACAACACGCTTTGGAAAATGTTCTTCGTGATGTTGTTCAGTACATTTTGGTCTTGGTTCATATGAGTGTAATAATATATCAATGATTAATGATGAACATATTGAATTTCATGGTATTGAATATAGTACAAATGAATTGAATGTTTACAATAGGGAAGATATGTTTGATACACCAAATCATCCACGATTAAAAGATATTGTCTATTGAGATAAACATGTTCAACCATCGAACGATCCATGTTTAGGTAGTTTACTTGTTGAAGATAGTGATCATCTTAATGCAGTAGATATCATGCGAAATATGACTAGTCGCAGAAACGGGTAATGCACTTAATTTAATTCTTGATTATGGTGAAAATACTGCTTATTTGGCATATATAGCATCTGATGATCCAGAAGGACCATTGGAAGCTTATAGTCGTGCTCACACAAGAGTTGATACGGAAAAAAAACACAGTTCGAAATACATATATTTATTACAAAGTTATGGTTATTTTACTAATTTTGAGTGAAAATTTTTACGTTGTATTTTTTGAAAAGTACAAAAAAATGTTTGCAATGTTTGAGTCATCAAGGTCAATCGAAATATGATTTTCTACATTGTCTCAGTAAATATTTTTATATGATTCGGTAGAGTTCGACAAGCTCTACCAGTATATGGATATTCAAATAAATTCGGATCCTCTTTTCAATACAAAACTTGAAAGAAATCAGCTAGACTAATAAAAATCTGGCATATGATGCATTGCAGAGTATACTTAACTTTCAATAACTTTGGTAGATCGACTGTTCAGTCTATTATTTTATGTTTCGAGATACTTTGTTACGTACTGTAGGTGAAAGTACTGTTTCCAAGCTTTCAAAAACAGATCAATAGTCGATTAACTCAAGTTATTGAAAGTTAAGCATACTCTCTTTAATGTAAGATATATGAGGTTTTTATTATTAGTCTTTCTGCTTTTCTCCCAGCTTTGCATCAGAAATAGGATCAGCAAACTTGTTGATATTCATATTCTTGTAGAGCTTGAAGAACTCTACCAAACTCTATAAAAAAAAGTCTGGAACATAATATTTCACTTCAAGTATTATAAGAATATTTTTGTTTTTTCGAAAAATGCAACGTAAAAATTTTCACTCAAAATTAGTAAAATGACCATAACTTTGTAATAAAGATATATATTTTGAACTGTATTTTTTTCAGCTGATAACTCTTCTCTTCCTCTACAAAATGACATAATTTTATCGATACCTTCATATAAGTTTAACATAGATATTATTGATTTTACTGAGAGGAGTCGAAACTTTTGGGACACCCTTTATTTTCTGAACCTGCATCAAAATAAAAATTTTATTTTGAAATAAACATCATAATAAATTTCTATTTGGTTTTCTATAGAACACTTTATTTTTTTTCATTTTTAATCTTCAAATTTGCAAAAAAAAGACAGAAAAGAAAAATGTATAACCACGAATAGAACAATATTCACAACAAGAAAAACCAAAACAACACCGATAACAACAGTTGTAAGTGTCCTAATCTATTTTACAAATCATCAAGGTGAGGCAACCAGAAAATCTAATTAAAAAATACTATTAGTTAATAACCTAATAAATATCAATAAAAAAAAACTTACTAATTGATTTGATGCACTAACAAGTAACATAAATTTTGGATTCATTGAAACAATTGTTTGACCAGACATTGAATCAGAAACAAGAGTACACACACGATTACCTGTTTCGGCATTCCAACAATGGATACGTCCATCACTTGCACCTAAATATACATTAAAAAGTTGTTAGCATAATCCCTGCAAGATTAAAATGTAACACATAATTTAGCTGCTCATGCTAATCATAGAGAGATTATTTTCTTCTATCTATTTCGAGATACGTTTTTACTTAATTCTCCAGAAATGCAATAGGAAACTAGTTCATATTTTATCACAAAACGTTTTTGATATACGGTCTATGACGCGAGACGTAGGGGAAGTGTTGTTCAAGTGTCTGTCACTATCGGTGAGAGGATTTAAATTTTGATTCCTTGACGACAACACTCCTATTAGATTGTATTTCATAAAAATATCATCGAATATTATCATCTATTTAACTAACCACAAAAAACAAATTGAGCATCTGGACTAAATGAAGCTTCTATAGGCATATTTTTTGTATTTGTAAAACCCTAAAACGAAAAATACATAAATTTAATTAATTTAGTTTTTTTATGTTTTCAACAAACCGATAAGGTATGTTTAAGTTGTCCAGTAAATGCATCAATTAAACGAATAATATTACCATTTGTGGTAAGCATAATGGTTTTACCATCAGCACTAAATTTCAAACTTGTCCATTCACAATCTTTTTCTTTTGGTAATTGAAAAGTTGAAAATGGACCCTGATTAAGAAAAGATTTAATCATTTACAAATTTAAAATATATAAAACAATAAAATAACCTTATCAAATGAACGTAAATCATACAATTTAATCATTTCAGATGTAATACCAGCACCAAAAATAAGACCCTAAATATAAATATATTAGATTTTATCAACTATTTCAACAGATAAAAATCAATTTTACTTCAGGATCAAAATTAGCTACTGGTCGACCATTCAAGTGCATAAGTCCCTTTAAAATTATGAAAAAAAAGACATTATCAATCATTTTAAAATAAACTATTGTTGATAAAAGAACAAAAAAACTAACTGCACAATTTGCTGATTTTAAATCCCATAATCGTATTGTATTATCAAGAGAACCAGACAAGAAAATATCATCAACTGGTGACATTGATAATGTAATAACTCTAGGAAAACAAAAACAAAATTTAAATAATCAATTTTAAATATAATTTGAAAATTTCTTTTACTTTCGAACATGACCAGGAAAATATCTAATATATTTATTATCATGTAAAGATAAAAACCGAATTGTATCTTAAAAAAAATTATTAATAAAATTCAATCGAAAAACAAAATCTCGTGGTTTTTATTTTACCATCAATTTTTGTTGAACTATGTATAACTGTATTTGGTGCATGTGTAAAACGAATTAAATCAACACCATATTTTTTGCTATTAAGTGTTTTTTTTGCTCTAGAATATAGATTTGAAATTTTTCATTTAATAATAAAATTCATAAATACATACGATCCAGCTTGACAATCATATATAACAATTGAATCATCATCACTACTTGTTATTAACGTTTCACCATTAGCAGAAAAATCTAATGCATTTATTCGATCTGTATTTTCATGAAAAACACGTGCATTACGAAATGTTTTAACAACAGCTTCAGTTAATTTAAGTCCTTCAACATTATTATTTGACGTTGAATTTGTTGGAGATGTTGTTGTATTTAATGTTGTCGCCATTAATTGAGATTCATCGCGCATAATCAATTCATATGAATATAAAATGAAAACAAACGAAAGAAAAAAGCTTTTTTTTTCTCTTTATTTTCTTGATAAGATTTCCGTTTGCGTGGATTTGATTTTCATATTACCAATGTTGTTAATTGGTTCGATGAATCAATATATGCTTAAGCGCCACATACAATGAATTTTGTTTTAAAAAAAAACAAAACAAAACTGTTTTGTTTTTGATTGGTCCATTGATTTCTTCAATTAGAATAAAAGTTATTTGTTGCTCTCTCTCAAAGAACTAGAAGAAGAATAAATCTTCTGTGTTTTATTGAATATGAAACGACTGACAACATTTCGAAGTCAATTTGATTTTCAATCGATACGATGGAAAGATATGATTCGGTTTGTTTTTTGTATTTATTAATTATTTTATAAAAATGACTTATTGTTTTAATGTCTATCTAAAATATCATTTCATGATCATAACAAGCATCCGAGAATGGAACATGTTTTCTTTTTTTGAAGGAGAAAATCATAAAATTCCTTTGTTTTTTTTCTTTGCAATAGAAAATACAAAAATCGTTTGATATATTTTAATCATATTCTTTTTTAATTAGATGGTTTCCTGGTCATATGCATAAAGGTATGAAAGATCTTGAAGAATCATTATTACGTATTGATGGTATCGTTGAACTACATGATGCACGTATTCCACATTCTGGTCGTAATCCTGAATTATATAAACGATTAGTTGGTGGTCATAAACCACATGTACTTATACTTAATAAATCTGATTTAGCTGATCCAAATTATTTAAATAAATCCATTGAATATATTCAAATTGAACAACCAAATACACAAGTTATACATACAAATTTAATGTCAATTGAATTAAAAGAATTAACAAATATATTTGGTCGTCTTCTTCAACAAATAGTTGAATCACCACGTTATACAAGAAGTTCAACATTGGAATATAATATTGTTGTTTGTGGAATACCAAATGTCGGCAAATCAACATTTAGTATGTTTATTAGAAAATAATAAAATTCATATTCATTATTTTGTTTTTTGTAAGTTAATAAACTTCGTAATTTATTTGTAAATAAACGAAGTTGTGAACAAGTTGGTGCAAATCCTGGTGTAACACGAACAATGAGTGAAAAAGTTAAAATATCAAATCGACCTAAAGTATTTGTACGTGATACACCTGGTATACTTGAACCACGTTTAAAATCAGCTAATGAAAGTTTTCGTTTACTTTTAACAAATTCTATACCAATACAACAACGTGAATTATCAGATATAATTGCTGATTATTGTTTATTTTTATTAAATAAATATGATAAACAACGTTTATATATGAAATATTGTGAACTTGATAGACCAACTGATGATATATTAACTGTTTTAACTGCAATAGCAAAATTAAAACATTGTACACAAGTATATGGAAATAAACGTGGATATGATTTAACAGGTGCAGCTTTACATTTTATACATGAAATTAGTAAAGGTACATTTGGTAAGTATTCTATCTTTATATTTGTCTTTTTGTTGGATATATATAGTTTTTCTTTTTTGTTATAGGACAAATAACATTTGATCAAGATATTCTTGATGAAATGGAAAAAGAAAAATCGAATGATACAAATTTGTTTAGAACTAATACTGGTCGAATAAAAAAATCAATCTAATTGATTTTTGTTTTCTTTTTGTTCCTGATAGAATATAGTGTATTATTGAGTTTTTATTTTTTAGATAAAATATGTCGAAAAATTGGAATGAAAATATAGAAACATTTGCTAGTAAGATACTTGAACTTTTTTCTTTTTTTTTTTGAATGAATAATTTTGTATTTTAGAACATATACAAATTTATAAAACATTAGCTCTTCGATGGCAAATCAATGTAAGTTGAAGAGAAAAAAAAAAGTCATTTGTTAAATGATATTTTTTGATATGAAGTTTTTCTTTCAAGACTAGGGATGAACATGCGAGTCTTTTGTCATGATTGAAAAGTCAAATATATTTCATACGAGAAGAAAATAAGAAAAACATTCAATTAGCAAAGAAATCCTTTTTTTTTAAAGCAAGACTATGGCAACTCTTGCGTGGTTTTTGTAGGCTAACAAAAGGAATACAAAATTTGCGATAGGAACTAGCCGAGCTAGATAAAATACTCGGACACGAAAAACTCTAAAAGATAAGATCGTTTTTCCACCATCAACATATTCCAGCTTTTTTATGTTGAAATCGATTCGGTGGTACCTCCTGATAACATCACAATAGTTTATTTCGCTATGTCTCTCGATCAATTTTTTAGGTCACATTTGTACCACCTAGAGGAATGGCCAAGTTGTTGTGGACCTCGTGGAAGAGATGGGCATAACTTGAAAATAGATCAAGAGGCGTGACGAAATCTTAACTATATTATCAGGTTTCATTACTATAGTGCCGAATCCTATTAGGCTCGTTTCGGCAAATTCTTTAATGGTTCCAAATGCTGATTGTCCCGCAGGACTCCAGTTACCAATTGATTGATTTCAATATCAAAAACTAAACATATATTTGCCCTCCGAAGATGAAGCAAATAGCTGATTTCTCACATTCTCGATTTTATATAAAATTGTACCCTTACATACTCGATAATTATGCTATAAGGCATTTGAACACATGTTTCGAAGTAACACTATGTTTGAAATTTTCGTTCTCAAGTGTGCAATTTTTGCTATACTGAAGAAAGTCCGTACTTGCTCAGCTCTGGGAACCAGTCCCAATTGCATTGTAATCACGCTCTAATTAAAACACCAATAATCATATTTTTTTTGGAATAGTCTTTTTTCTTTGAGAAAATATTCAATTCAATGACCGCGATCAGAAAATCTGGTGTACAGTTCTAGCTTTGTCTAATCATCAAAAATTAGAAAAAAAATGTCATAATAATGTTTCGAATGATCTCAAAAAGCTATTTTCTTTACTGAAATTCTGCTTTAATTATTAATATAAAAATCTCTAAACTCGCATGTTTTTTCTTTGTTTAGCCAAGTTTTCTTCATCGAAATTTAAAATATGTTCATATTGCTCGAACATCAATACGTTCTAATCGGTAAAAATATTCATTGAACAATTATATATTTTTTTAAATAATTAATTTTCTAGTATACCAAATCAAAATATTTCAATAGACGAAATCTTTAAATCACGTTTAGATGAAAGTATGAATAAAACATCATCATTATTACGTGGTGATGCTTTTAATTTACATTTACGTGGATGGTCATATGATTCAAGTAAATTAACTATTTTTTTATTGTTAATTTTTTTTTCATTGATCTTTTATTACTTTTTTTTTTCTCTAACAGGCTGTCTAACAGAACGACGTGGTATTAAACATAATGTTTCATTTGATTTATCTGCTTCATGCGTAGAAAATTGTTTACTTCATACATCAAATGTATCTCGAACAATGAAACTTGGTCGAATTGATTCAGTATTACCTCATGGTGTAGCATCATCAATGAATGATGATGATGATGAATCATCAACAATTTCATTTCATGTTTCAACTAAATATACATATATATTAACATTTTCAAGTACAATTACAGCTGGTCGTGGTATGAGATTGTTTTGTTTTCTAATTAAAACAAACAATTTTTTGTGCTTTTTAGGTGATGGAAATAAAGTTTCAATGTCGTATGGAAAACGTATACAACTTAATGCATTATTCGATCCTCGACAAGCAATGTCAACAAAACAATCACTTGAAATTCAACTTACACCTGTTTTAAATAATGGAGAAGAAATAGTAAAATTACACGTTTTTGCTTTTATTTTCTTCTATCTGCTTAGAGCATTTCAAAGATAGAAACTTTGGTAGACAAAAATCTCCTACAAAAGAATTACTTAAGTTTTTACTCCAACAAGTATTTGAGTTAGTATTCATGTAGAATCAATTTGTTTGAAGGCATTTGTTAACGCTATTTTTCAAATAATATTTCATTAAAAAATTCACCATTTTAGTTACAACACTCCATGTAGTGGTCGGAGGTTGCTTGATTGATAAAATTTATCGATTAGATCAAGTACCTGAAAAATATTTAGTACCACATCTGTAGAATAAGGATGGTATTGAATAATTACGATTCATTCTGATGCAGAATAGTAAAAGCATCTTTATGAATATATATAGTTGGACATTATCATAATGACTTTCGATGTTTTGAGCACTAGCCGATGATCTTTGTCCTTTTATTCTGTTAATAAGTAGTTTTAGAAAATTATTAATATAGCATTGTTTTGAGGTTAAATTATTGCGCAAAACTATAGCTGATGCAAATTGTTTGATTGCAGTTTTTCTAGTTCGAAGAATCTGAACCAATTTACGTGTGATGTGTCTAGGGTTTATCACCTACTCTCACTTTATGTATTCACTGTATTTCTTTACTCAGCCATATCCAATAAAATTTGGTTGATCAAAATAGCTGTTAATCACTGTATTAAGTACAATAACAGAGATGATAAAATTTTTAATCAAAAATAGTTTCAACAAATATCTTCAAACAAATCGATTATGCATGATTACTAGCTCAAATACTTGCTGAAACAAAACCTTAATTAAGTCTTTCTTGTAGATTTTTATCTGCAAAACTATAACTTTCGGTAGGCTGTGACATGGGAACTTCTTAAGCTGTCCCCTTTTGATCTCAATAGTTGTTTCCATATAGATACAACATGGAGTTTCTATAAAAACTTCAATTGATATTTGACTAAGCTATCGAATTTTGATCATAAACTTTACGCATATAGAGAACTCGACTAGATTAGCTTCCATAAAAAAATTCAAAAGTTTCAAACAATGATTCTTCGAGAAATAAAACGTTCAACCTATAGATCTTTCTCCATGAATAATGTATACAACATGCACTTTTTAAAAATCTCATATCTCGAAGAAACTTTGTTGAAAACTTCTAAATTTTTTTATAGGAATTACTCTAGTTGAGTTCTCTATATGGGTAAAGTTTCAGAACAAAATTGGAAAATACGAGTTTCCAGAAAGCCTGGAACTTCTAGAAAATAGATATATTCAAAATTCTATAGATTAGTCAAAACCCAAATCTTCTTAAGATTTTTATTAGAGCACTATGTAAAATTTGTTAATTAATTTTAGTCAAAAACAATATCATTTCAATTTCCAACAACATTTACAATTTATTTTGATCTTACAAGAGAAGCAGTTGAAATGTCAAGAAGTAGTGGTGCGTCAACAAGAAAACGACAACCAATATCACCAAGTAAAATTCCAGCATCACATCAACAAGAACAACAATATCACGATCCTAATGCTAAACGAATGAAAACAACACAAAAATCAAGTATTTATTTATCTTGTTCATGAACAAAATTTATTATTATACTTTTCTCTTTTTTTTTAGATAGAAATTCAAATCATAGTAATAATTTACCATTATGGCGTGATATTCAATCTAATCATGATCATAATTCATCAACACATTTACCACTTTTCTATAGTTTTCTAACGGAAAATAAACACTGTTTGGCTACGAGTTATATGTCATCAAAAGGTCATTGTTGTCTTTGTCAATTTACAGCTATTAATAATGATTTAGATGTATTAATCAAACATTTATCGTATTTTCACCCACGTTTTACAGCATCATTAAAGGTAAAATTTAAGAATCATTTATTTAAAGCGAAAAATGAACTCCGAATATGTGAAATATTTTTTTCTCGAATCTTCATTGTAAGATGATAAGGTGTCGATAATTCGAAATTCTAGCTAAAGTTTTATAGGCATGGTTGAATAGAACTCATCGAGTTATCTATAAAAATGTTGTTTTTGACATATTCGAACAATGTTTTTGTAGCGAAAATTAGTTTAAAAAATCGGAAAAGCCTGCGCTAAAAACATCCAGTCTTGGCAGACTCAATGTTTTGATTTTACTCTTCATAGACTTAGAAAGAAAAATTATCTATGATTTTTGAAAAAATCGATTCTTTTTGATACAGTAGCAAAACATCATAATTATCAGTTCGTATCCAAAGGCTTTGACCACCAGAACTTCAGTTCCGAATGAAACGAACATCATATTCATAATTAGAAAAAATATTTTGTATTGAATAGTGTACTCAGTACTTAAAACTAATGTTGGTCGTTACACCCCGACCTTTTCTTTTTTCGAATAGTCTGCCTTTTGACTCACCTAATATAAAAAAATTAGCTTAAAGTATTGGGTATACGATTCAATAAAGATTTATCTGCTGATTCTGAATAGGATATTTGTTTTATTTGGAATTGAAATTTTGATGGTCACAATCTCTGAACACGAACCGGTACTTACGACGTTTTCCTATTGAATCGAAAAAATCGATTTTCTCGAAAATCATCCGTAATTTTTCTTTCTAACCACATGATAAGTAAAGTCAAAACATTGAGGCTACCGAGACTTCATATGTATGGCGTATTTCTATTTTTATGGGCTTTTCTGATTTTTTTTGCTACTTAAAACATTATTCGAATATGTTTAAAAAAGCCTTCTTACGGATAACTGGTCAAGCTCTATCTAACCACGCTAAAAAGAAATTTGCTCGAATCATGGTTTAGGATAGGTTCAATAATCTGTATAAGATTCTCATCGGAAAGTTAAGAATGTGGAAAAAGAGGAGGACGACTTTTTTTGTGTGATTTAGATGGCACAGAATTAGTGCTTCTTATTTTCAATTCACATTTCGCCTTATGTAAAACTGATATGGTTTAAAAGAAGTTCAAGAATTTTCGATCTACTTTACTAAAAACAGAATAATAATGAAGTAGTAGTATTCATGCAACAAAAATGACTTACATTATTGATTTGCTCACTTTATTGAAAACGTGTCCTAGGGATCTAAGCTTAGCCATTAAAATTGTCACTACAATTAAAGACGCTAATACTAACTAGAGTTCTCCACGGATTCGATTCGAAGTCAACTAAATCTTTTGCAAAAAATTCAGTTTCGGCATATGAAATTTTTTGAATAGTAGGTGTTTTTCAGATATTTGTTGTACAAACTAATGTATTTTTGAGGTTCCATCAATGTCTTATAGAAACATCCGGGTACGAAACAAAGTGAGAGTCAAATTCAACTCCAACTTCGTTCATGTCTATAGACATATGTTAAAACTGCATTTTTGACAAAAAATTTAATTGACTCTGAAACTGACTACATATAGGATTCTAATACTAATAGTTAAATTTCATCAACTTAAAGACTTATTTACATATTTACTCAAAATAACAGCATTCTTCATAGAAATCTAATTTCTATTTTAGAAAAATAGCGATCGACCCAATATTGAATTGCGTATTAATGCATTCTATGATGGATCACTTGATACATTGGATGTGTTTTCAGAATATTATCCACGTAAAAAACGTGTTACTAGTGAATTAATTCTTTGGCGGTAAGAATTAAAACAAAAACAAAATTTTTTTTTGATATCAACCAAAATTCTTTTTTTAGACCACCACGTTATCGTCGATTGGCAATGGACGATGCACCATTTGTTTGTCGTCGAGCAGCATTAACTCGAGTTTATCGTCATACAACAGGTGCACAACCAATTGAACCTGAACATATGCAAGTAGATAGTGATGATGAAATATATCCTGAATGGACACAACAATTATCACGTCGTATGATGGAAGATTTTCAAGATGTAAATGAAGGTGAAAAAGAAATGATGATTATGTGGAATCATCATGTTATGAAACATAAGTAAATATTTTTTAATTTATTAGAAAAAACAATCTAATTTTTGTCATTGGTTTGATTTCTTTTTTTTAGTTTTATTGCTGATAGCCAAATGCCCTTTGCTTGTGAAGTTTTTGTTGAAAGACATGCAAAAGATTTACGAGAAAAAAATCTTATTAAAAATTTTTATTTACATTTGGCTACACTTCAATTATATAATTTAATTAAAAAAACAGATCTAGCAAAATGTATTATTCGTTTAAAAACTATTTTGGCATCATCTCCATCTGTTTCAACTTCACCATGATCTTATATTTGATAGATAAATATATATATATAGATATCTTATTCTATTTCTTGTATCTACTTTTTTTTTGTTTTGTCAAGAAGAGAAAAAATATATATGATGTTAAATATTTTGATAGAATGATATAGATAAAAATAAGTTTTATAAACAAAAAAAAGAATTATTATGGAAGAAGTTGATAATTGTTAAAATGTTTATACTGAAAATGAAAATTTCATAATAAATATCAAGATTTTTCGGAGATTTTTTTATTTGTATCGGTGATAAACATCAAAGTGTTATATTATTGGTATTAAGACACTTTCGTATTTTGAAAATATATTATCTATCAGTTATAAACTATTTATTGATATGCTAATTGTGGAGCACTAATCAAAAATATAAGAATAACGTATTTGTTTGGTTTTTGTCTATTCAGAAATTTCATAGGTGGGCTATAAGAAGAAGATTTCTAAAAAACCAAATATAGTAGTTCTGAAGGCACAGGGGATTATGTGAAAATTAGTTGTTAACAGTATCATCCTTAAAGAGCATAAAAATCTGAACACAATGAGAGGTTGCCACGTTTTCTATGATCTTCCCTTGAAAAGTTATTAGCAACAAAATAAATGAAATTTTTAGTCGTTTTTCGCTAAATTGCATTTTTTTTCCGTTTGGTATGATGGTTATCTTTTTGTCAGGGAAGGTCATAGGAAACGTAACAAGCCTTCATTTATTTCATAATGTTATGCTCTTTATGATGGTATTGTTAGCAACTAGTTTTCATATAGCTCTCTGAGACCTGAAAACTACCATGTTTAGTTTTTTCAAAAATCTTCTTCTTATAACTCATCTATGAAATTCCTGAATAGAATGCGTTTGATACAAAACTTCATTGGTCATTCAAATGACTATTTGGATTCAAATTAAATGCTCGATATTGTAGGAAAAAAAATCAACAAGTACGCTGTTCTTATGCTTTTGATCAATACTGTATTTTGATTCACGAAAAATAGGATTACGCTTTTTTAATAAAGGATGTATAGTAGAAGATGAAAAAGCGACGACAGAATGTAGAAGTGTATTTTTTAATTGAGTTGAATGAAAGATATCTATTAATGAAAGAATATGAAGAAAAGCGATAATGATGGTGTGATATACAAATAGATGAAATGATTCTTTCATTTCATGAGATAATTGATCGAACATTATTCATTGATAATTTAATGAGTGTAACTACCGCGATACGTTTATTATTTGTATTCTGATTATAAACTAAAATAATACTAGTAAATGATTTTCATGATAAATCAAGGTTTTAGTAAAATCGTTTGTATTTATGTTGAATTAAGATTATTTATAATTATTTTTACAATGACAAAATTTCAACTTGTTCTGAACGATATGAATATTCATAGAGGAGAAATTTTTCTAGTTATTATAGCTTGAAATATATTAATTTGAAAATATAAGAAAATAACTAATGTAATAAAAGAATCATCAACATTACATAATGTTGATAATAATTCAATGAATTAATATTTATTATTTTTCTCTTTTATGCTTTTTGATATTGAAACAAGAGATCGAATGGTTAAATTTGAAAAAAGGAAATATTTTCTACAAGGCAATAAACATGTGCAATTATTTATTTTATATGATAGAAAACAAACAAAAGACAAAAAAATTGTTTTATAAACGATCTGAATAGATATGATGAGTATAATTTGTTAAATATTGTTCATCATTCTGTTCATGTGATGAATCATCATGTTCAATTAAATTATTTGTTTGATAATAATAGTTTGAATTCATTGTTGTTGGATAATATAAAATAGGTTGCTGTTGTTCTTGTTCTTGTTCTTGTTCAATATTATTCATTTTAGAATTATTATCACGTTTAACAGGTAAACGTGCAGGTGCACCACGAGCTTTATATAATTCTTGAAAAAGATCATCAAGAAAATTTTTTGGTAAATGTCGTCGATATTCACCATATTCACATTCAATATCACTTTTAGTTTGTTTAGCTTGACCTTTATTAATTAATTGTACTTTTCGACGTTTATTTTGAAACCATATACGTATTTGATCACGTGATACACCAATATATTTAGCAATAAGTGTTTTTTGCAAACTATTTGGATATTTATGTTTTTTAAAAATTTCATTAAGCATAACAAGTTGATGACGTGTATAATTAGCACGATTTTGTGGTAACATCATTGTTGTTGATGATGGAATGATAAAATCATCAGATGAATAAATATGAGATGAAGGAAGATTAGGAACCGATGAAAATTGTGATGATGAAGAATAAAAAGACATTTCGGATGATGATGCTATTGGTTCAGAACCTGATGGATAAAATGTTTCAATTGAACAATAATTTTCAATAGGTTGAAGAGCAGATGGTACAGATGATGTTTGATAATTCATTGTTGTCGATGGACAAAGTAAAGATGATGATGATGATGATGGTGACCAAGTTGATAAATTATTATTGTAATAAGAAGGATGATAATGAGATGTATTATTGAAACAATTTGTATCTAATTGTAAAGGTGAAAGATTCATATTTAAGGATAATAATATTGAATTTCTTCTAGACTAACAATTGATCTTATTGCTTGTATAATGAGAAATAAACTATAATCGAGTCTATTTATATATCGAGTTTTTTTTCTTCGACAAAAAAAATTACTAAATTTTTTTTTCTTGCTCTACGGGAAGGCGATTGTTGTTCGGTAAGCAATTTAATGCGCACACTAATCAACTTGATCACTGATGATGTTTCCTTCTATTCAAATATTGTATATCAAGGTGAGAATAAGCCAAATTAGATGTCAATATTGTCATGTAAAAGATTATGCAATAAGTTTCGATATGTATATATATATATATCTAAATGATCATTTTGTGTACTGATGGGAGAAGTACGTAATCAAATTAGCAGAAAAGAAAAGTTAAGCCTAGAGGCGAAAATAAAATGATCTCATATTTTTAAGAGATACTCCTAGTATAGAATGAAGTAAGAGAATTCTTTTTTTTTCTCATATTTTAAAAGATATATATGTGAGTGTATTAGTTAGATGTAGACAATTTTGTTAATGTACTAACATATGAATTTGTGATAATATTCATTTTCATAATATAATTTAAAAGATTTGATCAATATAATAATAGGTTTAAATGATTTTTATTGTAAGAAGACTCAAAAGATTATTAACAAGTGTTAATATGTTATTGATTCAGTAATGGACTCAGACTTTTTTGCTCATAGACATTCTTGTTTTCTAGACATGTCAAAGGTAGGATAGTGTTGTATATAGGAGATCGTAGGTGGTGGGGCAGTGTTCTACGATCGTGGGAGAAATCCATGAGATATAGCGTCAATGATAGTAATTATTACGTTTCTCTTTCTTGTGCTGATAGGGAGCCGTTCAGCCTAGCTCACCTTTGGTTAGACCATTAAGGTAACATATAGAATTAATTAAAATGTGTAAACAATATATTGTTTGGAAAATATTCATAAATAGCTTTTCACTAGATCCAAATACTATATTTAGGAGGGATGATATATTCATGGTATTCAAAATCGTAATTGACATTTTATAAAAATCAAAAGTAATGATTTTAAAAGAAAACATGCATAACATATGTTCATCACTGGACAATTCCTGACTGAATTATGTAATGCTTCAGTGCAAGACTCATTCATTACACTTAATTGATTTATTTATTGAACATGTGTATTGAATAATTAACGAAAAATACTAGAAAAAAAATAGACTATTTTGTAATAAATATAAATCAAACATGAAAATTTATGAAATATAATTCAGTTGGTTTGAATAATTTGCAGAAAAACGAACATTTAGATTCCTAGTATTAGTTGATAATTAATACAATTAATTTGTTTTTCATCGTAATAAAAAAAAGTTACTGAGACGTTATGTAATTCTTCTTTTGTCATTTTATTAAAGATATTAAGAAGAACAAATAATATGTTTTATTTTGACAAGAAAGACTATTGTGTCATTCAAAGAATATTCTTTCATGGTCATTGAAATGGCAAATTTTATAATAAATCAAGACAGATATTTTTATATATACTGAAATAATATTGATCATTTTTTGTTTAAGTCTTTTTACTTGCTTTAATAGGAATCATGAATTGATATGATTTTTCTTTAAATCATGCATGTTCTATTCCCTCTATTAACTAATATTGTTTATTGAAGAGATAGTTAGTTTGATACATCTAAAATATCGCATTTCGTTATCTCAGTAAATGTACGACCCCTTTCGTTGAAAGATTTTTTTGTTTCATCAATGACACAGTCATGCATTGTGACGTTGACTGCATCCATTACAGTTTCCCATTTGATTGCAACGTTGCATTGGTCCATAATTGGTATTTATTGGATGAAAAATATTCGTATGCGCGTATATACGTGGGCTAGAAAAAACGATTGGTGACGATTTATAGCAGTTTCCCATCATTATTTGCATTTCATTTTTATTTTTTATAAGAAAAATAACCACAATTAACAAACAATATTATCGAAATGGGTATCAAATTTCTTGAATTTGTCAAACCATTTTGTCAACTTATACCTGAAATTCAAAAACCTGAACGTAAAATTCAATTTCGTGAAAAAGTTTTATGGACAGCTATAACATTATTTATCTTTTTGGTTTGTTGTCAAATACCATTATTTGGTATCATGTCATCAGATTCAGCTGATCCATTTTATTGGTAAGTGATATAAAAACAAGTAGACAATGAATAGAAGTTTTGTTTTTATTATCAATTTTTATACATAGGATTCGAGTTATTCTTGCATCAAATCGTGGTACTTTGATGGAATTAGGTATATCACCAATTGTTACATCAGGTCTTATCATGCAATTATTAGCCGGTGCAAAAATAATTGAAGTTGGTGATACACCAAAAGATCGTGCTCTATTTAATGGTGCACAAAAACTTTTTGGTATGATTATTACAATTGGACAAG